TGTGCTACTGGGACTTTTTTATTGTAAACTCGAATATTTAATACTGTGTGACTGCGAGTGGCTAAGCTGGTTGCATGACGTGTTTTGTGGACTGCCCTAAATTTACAGATTACTATCACTATTCTTATCCTCCCTCTACCAGTCTGGAGTACTAGTTCTAGAGAATACTATTCGTGGATTAAATAATTCCTAATTCAATTCCAATGTATGCCACATTGATAAAAATATACTATTGTAACTTACGTAAAATGGAATCAGCCCCAAAGCTTTATCTTCCTAAAAACACAAGGATGACAAATTTTTCTTTTATTTTGAGCGATAAAAAACCTTTAACAAAGCTTTTAGATTTAAAACGAAGTACATCACAGAATGTAAATAAGTGTATTAAAGCTAGAAGTACTATTCTTAACAGTCCCAGGTAGAGGTAATAACAGCCTAGAAACACGTCTTTTTTGTAGCTTAGGCATCCCTGGGTAGAGCAGTGGACATCAACCTTTGTGTAACTGAACTTTCATGAATGAGCAAATTTAATTCAGACTTCACGAGCACTAAAGGCAGTCACTTTTCTGAAAAAACTGTCAAGATTGCTTTCGCCTTACTTCACTCTTCTAAATACGACCACTAACTTTAGTTCGGATTAAATGATTTTTCATTACTGTATGGTTTTCCTCATCTCATTTCAAACAGCTGGTATACTATCCTTGGGTTGACTGATTTCAATCATATTCAGGTTTGGTTGAATGCCTACAATTTGGGTGATAAAGATTATTTTACACCAGTAATATTTTTTCAGTCTCTTAAAATGAGTTTTAAATTACATGACTTTCGATGTTTTCCTCTAGATTGAATTAATTTTTACAATAGCTGATGGTAAAGATTGTACTTTGCTTCACATTGATCTTTTTTTAAGACAGCGCATATCCAACAGCAATTCTCTGTATGACGAAATGTTTGATGATTTCAATGCTTCTTGTGATTATTCCCTATTCGCTATAGATTTGAAAAAACTGAATTTCTGTCGTCTGTCGATTATGAGAACTCTTTTAGTTAACTGATCTAAAAAATCCTAAAATCATAGTTCCTACTAAATGGTAGTTGGTATATTAATTTAAATATTTGTCGGTTGTCTGTTCAGCTTAGTTCGATACCTCAAGGAATTTACTTGCACCTTCCAAAGTCGCATGGACAATGATGACTTCAAGCAATACACTTAAATATCAGAATGATGCGAAGAATCAAGGTGTAATTTGATCTGTTCAATCACTTAGGTATAAGGTCCCTAGGCTTCGCTAGGTTTTATTCTTTGGAAGAAAGTGATCAGTAAATGTTATTGCTGAACCATGAGAAAACTTGAAATAATTGCAGTTCTTTCTTCACCTAACTTCCCGATCAACGTTGTGATGGGTTAGCCAGCTACAAAGCTTTTGACACTAGCATACATTGCGTCTCTTGATTACCTTCCTCCACTAATATTACTTACTTTCGAAACCAGATTTAATGTGACTAAAGAAAAAATAAGTTTTAATGAGTTTAATATTCTAACTGGAAAAATTGTGGCATATCTTGAAAAGACTAACAGGCAAGTTACTTAGAGAATGTTTTTCAGTTTCATCATTTTTAATGCTAGTTTCAATTAGGTTGTGTTTTCACTGCAATAGACTGACATTATTCTCAAACGCTATCATTTAAAACGAATCGGTTAAGAAAGTGTATCCGAAGTAGCTGTCAGATCCTAAATATTTAATGGTAGCCAATATTCATCGGTCGAGAATAAAATGTGCCCACTAAAGTAAATGATGCGAAACTGAAGAACACTGTACTCTGATGTTGAAAGTTATATTCTGATTGAAAGATCTCTGAACAACTAGATTTCATATTTGGTGACACTCATTCCAGTGCATGGCTGAAAATTTGGGGAAACTTGATTTTCACTATGTTCCCTACCCTACATTAATCACTGCCAAGGTAGGTTAATCAGTTATTCAGACTGCAAGTAACCTTCCGTAGGACTGCATTATGTACATGTGTCGGAATGAGCAAATTTTATAATGGAGCGATGAAATTATCCTGATAACCTGAAGGACTTAATCAGTTACATGCATATCACTTTACAGCATTCATAGATAACACAACGTTAAGGTAGGAGAAGGTTAATGCTCTGAAACTTGTTATTCTCAATCTCAATCTCCGCTTCTGTACCGTACCATGTTTTTATCAATTTAATTCACTCCATCTTCCGTTGATAAGGTTACCTGCTCCACCTCCCAAACTTACAGAAAGAGTCAGGTATTAGTGTACACCAAGTGATAAATATATACGTCAGCATCCCAATAGTTAACTGAAAGGACAGGCTTCCTGTCGCTGATCCTCTAACCTGAGGACTTTTGTTATATTATGAGTTTTTAGTTGCTTGCATATTTCGTAGCATGAAACTCTTAAGAATCACTAGAAACTGAGCCTTTTATGTCTAAAAAGTGTGGAATATACTACATGCATATTCGACCCTGCGTTACTGTTATTATTATCGCTTAACGCCTGTTCATTGAAATAGCTAGTTTGATGGTTTTTAAAGAACTAACATCACCTGTTCTCCGGAAAATGTCAGGCATTTATCGATACTAAACTGAAGGTAATCACTTGCTCTGAACTAGTGTTTTGTCAATAGATGGGCTTTAATTCTGAGAGAGGGATCGATAAATTCTTGTAGGAAAAGTTTAGACAAGCTAGATATTCATCTGGATCTAAAAATGTTTCATTTTTACTGGGCTCTGTCGATATACATAATCACATTTTATGAAGTGAGAGCACGTGTGAGTAGCACGAAGCTGTGGAGAGTAATTGAAAACGTTCAGAAACTCAACACACAAATATGTACGTGCAAATTGTCTGGTGCTAAGAGCTTAAAAAGGATGATCAGTTTGCAAATAGTTGTAAAAACTGGACGGTCCACACTGACATTTCTCACAGCGGAATAGCTTTTCAGCTTCCCAACCATGGTTTCAACAAGGTTTCCAATGAAACCCATTCAGCTGTGATCACAAAGTGTAATTAATCTCTGATGTAAAAGTGTCTCGAACTAGCCGAAACATTACTATTGAACAACTTGAGATGTTAAGAACCACTCAGGGTGACCTGTAGTATTTCGCCAGGCAGATCGAAGTTAGCTAACAGCCGGACGGCCGTTTTACTCGTTCAGAGTTGAGCCCATCAGCAGCGTGCCCGGACAAATTCAGCCTAAAGAGCCAAATCGTTCAGGTCATCTGAAATTGACAGGCTGACTTTCACGGACCAGTATACCTAAAGTAGAATGATCAGTTGGTAAATGACTTACAAATTACTCCCCCGTAAAACAGCGAAACTGCCTATCGGTGTTTAGGGTGTTTTTTAACTACTCACTTTGCTTAGTAGGAGTATCTTCTGCTTAAAGCTTAGTTAAGACAGTAACCGTACACCCTAGTGCTGTATTGATATTTGATTAAAAAGTATTTTAGACTTTAAGTTAAGCAAGTGTAAATAATAAAAATAATTAGATCTTCCGATATATTTATCAAACTCTTTTACTTACTGGTTGATTCTTACAAAACAGTATAGCTCATTTTGTGATAAGAACTATAAACAAATTTCAAACAATTTGGTTAAGGAAGTTAACATCCAGTGTGAAATTTTCGTTACTTGAGGGAGATGTATCAAAAGATCACCATAAGTGAGGATGAAACATTTCACTACCAGGATGATTGCTATTTTACCATTTTCAAAGTCTGATTTGTATCATCAATAATACAATTCTGACAAATCACGGCTATCTCAGATAGCCAAAATGATAACCAATATGATACTCCCCCTTTTTAAGTGAATTCAATTTGGATTAGAATGCGAAGTTCCTGTTGGGCAGCCGGTGTGAGTATAATGAACGGACAGTAATGCATCACAAATTCACATGGCAGTCGGGCAAAACTCCTGGTGACTGAAGTGGAATCAAGATATGGTCACTAGTCGGGTCTCGTAGCTCAGTTGCTACAGCACTAAGCCAGTAACCTGAGGGCGCTGATTGTTATTTTAATGTTTATGATCAATGTATAGCAATTCAAAGTTCTACACCGTATAATAAATGGTTAATTTATGGGGGAAAAACTGTTCATTTTTATCACAAACTTCAAAATCAAAATTTGATCTGATAGATTTGAATAAGTTGAGCATTCGGTAAAGGATTACCAATGAAATATGTGTGTAAAATCCCAGTGAGGCAGAAAAATAAATTCTTGACTTTTGCGACCTCGTGGAAATCGCTTCTTCAAAAAATGAAATACGTAAAGTCGATAACTGGCATAGGTTTTATTCTTTGAAGAAGCGATTTCCACGAAGTCGCGAAATGTCAGAAATTTATCTTTCTACCTCCCTGGGATCTTATAAATATATTTCATTCATTATCCTTATTTGTGTAAGCATTACATAAGCTAATATGACAACTTACAGTCACATCAGAAATTTCTTTGAAAAAAGTTTATATTTGATTCAGTTTATGACAATTAATGAGTTTCACAGTCGAATAAGAAACCCCTTTAATGGTATTTAACACTGAACAGCTTTCTTCACAAGGTCAACTAGGAAAATATTCAAAAGAAGAGTAACAATTTAAATTAGACAGAAAGTTGGGAAATCTACGTTGGTGATTGCTCAGTTTATTTCTGTATGCTGATGAACTAGTCACTAGATAGTAATCAACGTGACTGCTAGGCGGATTATATCAGATGCTGGTTGTTCTGTGGCCATTAAACTTAGTGACACGATACTTTTGGGTGATCGAAATAGGCGGGTAGGAAGCCCTGATTATCGGTATTTATCAGTGAAGCGTATTTGTTTTCTTGAGGAAAACGATGTTACCCAGACAACTTTTGCCATAATTTAGTAGTCAATACCTTCACTGAAGTCTCATACAATTGTTTATTACTTGTAAAATAACACAAATCAACTCGGAAATATCTACAGTGTTAATATAAACTTTATCTTACTTTAATAGCATTTTGTAAGGCTATGCCTTGAGTGCTTAAATTTTCATCCACGTTCAGCTGATGTAATTTTACAAATCCCAGCATACTGGCTTTCTCAACGGCTGAATGAGCCTATAAATTACGAAAACAGCCTTTATTTAGACAGCATGATTTACTTTATAACCAAACACTAGTTCTCCATCTGTAACTTCTTTCTATTGATCTTTATTACTAGATCTTAATTACTACTGATATCATGAATTATAACGCTTTAGTTTCCCACTTATTGAATTCTACTCTCTGAGTTATCATCAGATTTGAATAACTAAACTAAATTGCAGTTTTAAAAAAAATCCTGAATGTGTTTGTCTTTCGGTATGCATAAATAGTTCATTTATACAACGCAACTCAACAATTACCTCCTGGCTCCTTGACTCATGAATTTTCTATGAATGGAGAAGAATGAAACTGTTTTGAATAATAATGAGCAGTACACCCGTAAATATATGTTCAAATATCCGATGGGTTTTGCCCCACAAAATTATGTAGACAGAAAAACTAATCACCATGTAGACCAGTAGATTTAGGAAGAATTCTCATTCCATTTGGGAAGCTAAAACACTACATGTAAAATCACTCATATTAATTCGTTAGTGAAGTCAGATTGACAGGTGACCCGTGAAAATAAGCTTAGCACAAATATTTGAGGAGTTTTTGTCGTAAATTTATTTACTGATTTTACTAGTGTGACTCATCTCCACTTCATATGGTACACTTGTTTCAAATGCTTTCCTGAAATTAAACGGGTTATATAACCCCACGGTTTAAAAAAAATCTCATGTTTATCTTGAACTAATCCACTGACTTAGAGTCAGAGAAACATCTTTTCTCAGACTATCGACCTTATCAATTCAGTCTATTTAGGGTGTATATGAGACAAGTTTTGGTATCCAGTGATATTCTTCAAACAACTCACTGTAACACGACATTTTTCATAAACATACTTCAAACAATTATTTCTTCAAAGTAATTGTTTTATATTAGATATTTTATATTCTAGTATAGTGATTTAAATAAGAAATTCCAATGTTTCTCACGGAAGTCTATCCCGATATTCTTCCGAGAAATAAGAAGCTCGGATCAGATTTCCGTGCAAATTTTAAAACTTCTTATTTCAAACACGCTGAGATTGATATAAAAATAGCTTATATCTAGCGTCAAAATTTTCATGCACCCAATATTTGGGAAACTAATCCGTGAAATCGCGATCGGGATCCCTATAAATTAATTGTTTCGCAATCGTAAGTGCCATTCTGGTTCAGTACTACAAAGCAGGTTTCTGTTTTTGCTTCTTTAAAAATATAACCTACAACGTCTGTCACTCTCATTGCTATTGTACATAATGCCTAGCCCTATCTAAACGTACAGTCATGTACCGGGTCCATATCCATTATCATATTATGCACCTGGCCGCAGAATGCTACATTCGATACCATTTCACCGTAACAAAACTGCATCTGCAAAAATTGTTTATGAACGCGTGTAACTGTAAGCACTATTGACATTTCAATAAAATTGTTACGCAGACAAAAGCGTACAATCCATCAGTATGATAGTATAATATTTATTCAAGCAGTGTAATATCAGTTGTGAAACTCATAGTTATACTAGCAAAGCATAAACTACTGAAAAGGTACTTGTATTTGGTTACAAGACTGATTTTCATTTTATGAATGTTTGTAGTGAATTTACATTGAAAAATTTCCATACCATTTTGATATATGCAGTAGATTAAAAGCTTGCACTGAAATTGCAAAGAAGTATACACTTCTACAAATGAATTTGTATCACACTATCCTGTTCGGTGCAAAAAAGCTTGACAACTGTGTAATGCAGTCAACATGACTTTAAAATAAATAAACAGAGGGAATGGCCTAAGACAGCTTTATTTTGTGATAGAACATTTCAAGAAACTTTGTAATAATTCCGCATGGAATAAAAAAAATCTACTGAACTTACTAATTCAGAGGCATATGCTACAAGTCTTGATAAAACGGCAATTTCAGGATTTGAGTCACCCACTTCTTCAAAGTGATGTTTATAACGTTCAACTGCCTGATGACGAGCAGCTAACATTGATATAAATATGCAATCACTTGCAGAAGACTGAAATTATTCCAAAAAAGCAGTGCGACAAAGTGCATAAGATCAAAAAGGAACTTAATGCTTTTTCCTCATTTCTAATTAACTCAATATAATAAAAACACTTTACCTGGTAGAAAAAAATGTCACTAAATAGACTTACTTTGTGTCTACATTGATTTCCCAGATACCAACTTCCTTTGAATTCATATTTCAATATGATGAAGGAATTTTTTCTGACTTACGACCTATCTAGGACTTCAGTTTCTTTCTGAATTGAATACCGTCTATCAAATGAAGCCTTATTTCATTTATTGTACTTAGTGTCTACCGAGAAAAATCCATTTTAGATAGTTCTAAAGTGATTCATGAATAGTAAGTTCAGGTGGTAAATAGCCTTGGTTGTTTTAAATAAATGAAACAGTAGACCCTGATATGAGTTCATATTGAACTACAAAATCATCACCTCGGAGTTTTAGCCGATAAACAAAGCTTCATGTAAACGGTCAGAAATAACTATTGACATGATTTTCTATTTTCTCTGTTTGAATACCTTTGCCTGTATCCAGATCCATAACTGGAATACTCCTAAGTTATCTAGCAGCAAATATCACTTTTGTACATATTTTTACCTTGATGACCAGGGGGAAATCATGTAGTAGACTCGTTGCCATTTTGATACATGTTCCATCGCTTCCAAGTGCATCTGATTTCATCAACATGCATAGGCGCAAGTAGAAGACAATCATCAGCATTCATTGCAAAACACATTATCGATAAAAGTCACGGGATTGATATTACAACAATTTACACAGTATTGCAGAGAATTTATCAGAGGCTTATACTCAGGTTGCTTTAAGCGCTAGCTATACGCAAATATAAACCTTGATGTATTTTTAAAAACAGTTTTGCTATTACGCGTAAACTATAGTGGTAACGTTTGTCTTATCCTGTTACCGAAGTTGACTCCAAAACATATCACTATTTCTTAATTACCTTTCTTATTATAACATTCCTTATTTGTCCTTCCATTTCCATGTATGATATATAATGCCTTAACAGGTAAATGTGTGATCAGAATGTTCGAAATGTACAACCCATATACATCACGTCTTCTAATTACGTTATCGAAACTCATAAAAGTTTCTTATCGTCTCAAAATGAAATTTCATAGTATTATTTTTTGAAACAGTATCTTCCCAATACATAACAGATAAAGGCTTTCTTTGTTTATGATTAGTGTTTAAACATCTTTCCTTAAAATATTTTAATTAGGTAGTTTCCTTAAATATAAATTTGCTTCAGTTAAAGAGTATTTTTTCCTGCATTATTAAGAGATTGGTAACGTTTCAATTTGTTATTATTATTATTGAAATATTCTTTAGCCACATGAAATCAGTCGTTCAATGTTGACTTACTTTGTTATATTCTATGGGTGTACAACACTTACAAGAATGCATATAAATTGTATGTGCTGGAAGGTTGTCTACAGAAAAAGTCGGCGGTGAAATGATAGAGGCCTTGCAGGAAATAAAAAGAAATTTAGGGAGGGACACATACAAAACATTTGATGAAGCTAGACAAATAGAAGAATAATCGGTATAAGAAAAAGAAGAAGTAGAACATGGATGTTATTCACATGAGTCGCACTGAATACAAGCATGTAATAATTTGAAAGCGCTATGTTTGTTCGCTTAACAAATGATCTTATCTCTCCACAAAGGTACCCTGTGCTCCGTCAAACCACTGCTTTCCTTTTACTTTCAGTAACCACTGAACTTATTACTGGCTTGGTGACGGCTGTGAATGGAATCCAGGACACGCTTTTCGTCATATCTGGGACTCTTCTGCCAGATGCATCTGCACTCCAGCGTCTACTTCTAGCGTCAAAGTGTCATCTAATAGATCTGGGTTCCAGTTACAGTGTAAACACCCTAACTCACCAGAGTGCAGACATAACGAGCCGTTGACTCTTAGTTGGGAAGAAGTACACCTCCTGTATCCCACCACAGACTAGTACCAAACAAAGTACAAGACAGTGCATAAATAGGCACAATCGACGCATCTACAACAGAGGCCGATCATTTCTAACCAGAATAACAACGGGAAATTACAAGTGTCAACCAATAAGAATAACCATTTTGTGTATCTACTTGAAGTTCAATTATTCTAACGCAGAACTACTCTGTTGGCATAGGAATGCTTAAAATCACAAAAATCTAGTACTACTAATAAGATAATTTAAGTAGTATCATACTAAGTGAATCATAAAAGCAAAAATGCAATAGAATATGTCAGCAGACTCTGGTCCAAAAGAAGAAATTTATAGGATTATCAGAATCAAAAAAACCTCTATGCATAAAATCTAGTATTTCAAGTTATTTATTGCAATAATTTTTTTTCCTGTACCTGTATCACACCGCCTCCGATTCCGCTGCTATGAAGAAATGTTTCTGGTAGATTTAAAAGCTTCGCAATCCAATCACACATCAGGACTTCCAGCTCCGTAATTGCAGGACTTGCAGCCTATTGAAAAGAAACCGAAAATGAGGCTGAAACAAGTTTAGAGGAAAATAAAAGTCTGACATAGATATCGTATAAGTTGGAGTACGCAACAGACATTCGTTACATCAATCCTGTGACGCCAGAAAGATGTTGATTACGCTTCTTCGTCATATCGGTTTAGAAATACATATTAATTAGCTTAAACATGTTTATTTGACTAAATGCTTAATCTAATCATCTAAAATGTAAGCTTTATTGATAGTATATATCAACATCAGCAACTGCGTGTTTGCAAGCTCCTGATAATATTGAATACTTAGTATATAAATGCATATATACTTCCCATATTGTTATCTAAATTGCAACGGAAAATATGAATGATAGGTTGTTCTGATAATCACACTACACTGCTACACAACCAGACCCATGAGAAAGTGGTGGAACTTTAATACTACCTCTTGCAAATGTACGTTATTTATTTCCTGAGCACTCGCTAATTCACAGGTTATTGCAGGCTAAATGTGATAATCCAACTCTATCTCTTCTAGGAAATATACTTGTTAGGGTAAATTTACCACCAGAACAGCTTTTGCGCTTGGAACGAAGATATCTTTGAGTATATTACAAAGCTAAAAAGGTATTCTATTTGAATTTTAGTGATGCACCAACCAAGACACAAATATTAAATGATAAACAAATTTGCAAGAACAGATTCTAAAATGTCCATACCTTGGACAGAACTAGTCTTCTTCAGCACCTTTTCTTGGCTAACACGTTCATATCTCCATTTCTGACAAACGTGTTACATTAATTTATTAAAAAAGGTAACCGTTCTGAATGGCAGAGGTCTTCTGAATTTTTTCTGAGATAGATGTATTTTAATCCGCTACATTTTACCTGTCTTACTGGATTTATTAATTTTTGAAAGTCTGAATAGTAAATCTTTTTTATTCTTAGGGTCCTGAAACAAAAATGATTCATAATCTTCCCATGGACTTAAAGTAGACTATTCAGAATTCCTTTAATTAACCTGAAAGACTTCAAATGTTGTGTTGATTGTAATAACCAGGATTTTTTTGTTTCAGATAACAATGTTATATGAGTTCCGCTCCAATATTTCGCTTGTTACCTTCATTTCTGAACGTTCAGTTTGCTTGACAGTACATATTCTAGGTAAGACAGACATTGACTTCCTATTTAATGACTAACAGAAGAGGACCTCATTTATTGGAACTAAGCCTAAAAGGACAATCCGTAAAAGGGGTTTTTCCGATTTTTGTCAAAATCAGTTCACAGCCTGAAAATGCTTTATTTATTGTTTGGAATAAAGTGAATTATTATTATTATTACCCTTTAAATAAACTGTAGACTTTTCATCTTAAAGTTCTGTTAAAAAACTGACTTATAAAAATATATATAGATTATTATTTGATCATACATCTTGAAATTCCCGACTGAGGATTTCTTACCCACGAAAATCCAATACAACCTAAGGCTGTTGATAACATATCAGCCATGATCGAGGGCATTGAATTAGCGGCAGGAAAATATGCATGAAATCGAGGATGTTGCCAGTGACTTAGCTTGCAGTGAGGAGAGAGAAAACAAAAATGAATTAACGAATTCCTGCTTCAGTTTTTGTTTACATAAACATCAGCATAAAAACTTACCAAAATTTAATGAAGAAAACTGATGTTTCATAGTTTAGTGGTATTCTAATAACACAAAATCATTTTCCTAGGCTAATTAAACTTGTGTTTCCAAAAGTATGGCCAACATCACTTAAGGTCACAATAGCGTCCAGTTACATTCCAGTAGTCGGGTACTAAAGCAAAGGATTTTCACTTTCCTATATGAAATGAGCGAGATGCTGCGTATATTTTTTCAGCTGCAAATTTGTCTGAGAATAAGTTTTACCGGAGGGAAACTCTAAAAGCTGTTGCTCAACTGTCCACACTTTCACAAAATAAATATAAAACTCAGGTTTTTACAAGTGGCAACAAGGATATAACAAATAGCAACGGATAGAAAAAACTTAGAATTCCAAGCATTTATGCAACGCTATGAGGATTATTCAGAAAGCCAATCAAGTGCTGGATGACGTCCTGCAAGAATCTGTATCCACAAGTCCTCAGATTTTGAAAAGGTATAGTGAAGAGGAAATTGATTTTCAGAGCCTGGTAATGTGTATCGTGTTACACTGATGGATGAGGATGATTGTAAACCCTCACCCCACTGCCCATCGAAAGACAATAAATGATATGGACACTAGATAAGATCATGTTAGTGAAAATCATAAAGTACTTGTCGACAGTCTGTAACACGATACAACGGGCTTCATATGCCCCAAATTTTCTAAAACTATACTTCAAAATAAATATTCAAGGAGTGCCAGTTCAATCCCAAGCTTCATCGTCAACAATTGCACGGATGCTCAAGGAGGTTCAAAGCCTCTGCACATATATCCGATTGAAATCACTGTAGCGACTTCTTGGAAGCTCCATTTACTAAAGTACGTGTCAGAATTCAATAGGCAGATTTTCTTGGCGATTGCCTCCAACCAATAAACATCCATCATGGTGTATCGTCATGGTCAGCCTCCTAGCTTAGTTCAATCTTGAGGTTGAAGGGGATTTATTTAATAGTTTTAGGTTGATTCATCATGGACTGACGTCAACTGGAGAAACACTAGAAACCTGGGAGCAGTTGACAGCTGTTTCTTCCTAGTGTCCACATTGCGAGGTGATCTATAGAATTCGGTCAGCCCTCAGGACTAGAAAATTTGAAATTAGTTGCTATCTAGTCATTGTGTGAATTGCTTTTTCTGCCTCAAAAAGAATGATTGTTTTAAAAGGCTGATAAAATATTTCTGTTTATAATAGAATCTGTCTCCCTCAAAACACCTAGTTAAATCTTTAGTTTACTTTGCATATTTATTTATGAATTATATCCTTCTTGCTTTTATCTTTTCACCTATGTATTCACTTATGAAGCATTATTGGAACTTCGGATATTCATACAGTGTTTGCGGTTACTGACCAACTGGTGATAGGAAGCTATTTCTGATGTGAATTTATAAATCACCATGCCAATTAAACCCGTTGCCTTCAATGAGAATCTTAAGAAATCTATTTGCAAGATTCCAAGTGAAAGACTTGAACTAGGGGCTTCACTCGAACCCGAACTACTGCTCTAAATACCCATGAGTAGTCTCTTCCTTTGTTTAAAGACTGGAAAGTGAATGCGAATGTACATTTTGCGAATAAATTTGCTGAAAAGAGTTCAACTCGCTGGATATCTTGTTTTTGATGTTACAATGGGGATTATAAATAAATTCAAAGATTAGTTTAACAAAAAAAGGTGAGGGAAAATAGTGAGGGTGGGAAAACGTCATGACCATCGCAATTAAAGCAATGAATATACATACCTGTTTCGTATATAGAGATCAGGCTTTGTTCATAACTATGGTTTCCGCTGTCTTAAGGAGATGGGAACAGAGAAAGCCTGAGAGGTTTGGGTGAATTTGACAAACAATTTTAAATTCATTGTCAAGGATTGCTGAGTGATGAAAATCAATCAAATGTTGTATAATAGAAATTCTAACAAACTTTTGATCAACTTTATGAAGCCGAGCTGAAACATGTTCTCGCATAAGTGCAGAAAATTATCGTCTCTGCCATTTCATTGATAAACATATGGGAGAAAAAAATACCAAACCGGTCACCCACCTTATTTCAAAGAAAACATTGTTCGTAGACCAACAACTTAAATGTGATGAAGCATCATATGCACTCAAGTATCTTCTGTGTAAATCAATCAATAGAACGTTCTTCGCAGCAAGACTCCAATTAACTTTTACCAAAAGTAAACTATTCCCCGTTTGTATGAAAAATAAGCTCCCTCACCTGGCCGCCTTTATGTGCATCTACCAGTTCACCTGCTCTTGTGAACCAAGTTACTTCAGCGGTATTCAAAGAATGGTTTCCACAAGTATGTGGTAACATATTCCAGCTTGGCTTCATAAAGTTGATCAAAAGCTTGTTAGAATTTCTATTATACAACATTTGATTGATTTTCATCACTCAACAATCCTTGACAATGAATTTAAAATTGTTTGTCAAATTCACCCAAACCTCTCAGGCTTTCTCTGTTCCCATCTCCTTAAGACAGCGGAAACCATAGTTATGAACAAAGCCTGATCTCTATATACGAAACAGGTATGTATATTCATTGCTTTAATTGCGATGGTCATGACATTTTCCTTTACCACTAGTTTCGCCCTCATCCTTGTTAAATGATTCTTTGCATCCTTCCTTTATCACTACTATTGTTACTTTAATTACCTTCACTTTGATTAGTTTCCTGTATTATTTCACCTAACTGTCTTAATCTTTTCAGCGAACATTCGTTTTATTTTAACTAACTTGCCTAATCTTATTACATAATGCTTGATTGATCTGCCACTTTCATCAGTTTCTTCACCCCTTTCTGAGTTATAATACGACATCTACTTTGTTATCGCTCATACTTCAACTCTTGTCATATTCACAAGTACCCATGTCATCATCACTTCTCAGTTACTTCATATCGATATTATCTTTAATTCAAACTGACAATTTTCTACTGAACTGATTCAATTAGGCAAACAGTTACTTAAATTGATGTTGAACCAACTGCTTAGAATAGAAGCGGATGCCCACTGAAGACTCTAGGTGATAGTTGCGATATATTGCGAATCGACAGGAACTGGAAACTGTAGGCCATTGAACTCCGACTCAATGGCTGAGTGGTTAACACATTCTCCGTGAAACCTGAAGGTCCAGGGTCTGATCCCTAGCCGGGTCATAAGAGAGTACTCCTGAGGAGTCCCATACTAGGACTAGGTTTTGAATGGTTCTCGAATGACGTCAGTCCGTGATGAATACTATTTCAAGATTAAAATGCCCATTTACCTCAAAATACATCTTAGTATAATAGTTTCGAGTTGTAAGCAGCTGATGAGAAACCACGAAATAAGATTGATCCATGCTATTCTGATAAATTGCAAATCTCAATCTATTCTAACTTGTACTCGTATTATCATCACACAGCAATTGATTTTCCTCACGCAATATAATTTTTTCAAATTTTAGGCATGTACGGATGTGCAACTTGGAAATAAATTCGTTGAAAAAAGTCTGTTCGCCGAATATCTCGTTCTTAACTAAATATCAAACAGAGGTGTGATCATCGCTAGCTACCTAAACTCCATAAAATGTAGACGAGCATTGGTTAAACTTACAAAATGCTATGAAAATAGAGAATAAAGCTGCTTCTGGCTTCTATCAGCGTCTTAAATTACATACTGATTTTCGTTACAACTACTTTACTCGTACCGATCCTTTCTATCAGATAGAAGGTGCAGCGGTTTGTGTGAAAACATTCAAGTGAAAAAGTAAAAAGCGGTTTCATAAGGATAGTGAGGCTTGGTGATCGCAAAGTATGAGTGAGTAGGCAACTACTACTTGCGTCAACGAAGAACTCTAGTTCAATTTCGATAAGTGTCTTTAAGGTAGATGAGGATTTATTTAAAAATATTTGAAGACACATGTGACATTATGCAGAAATTTTGAGCAGTCTCATACTTACTATCCTGTGCTCGATGTTCATTTTACATCGACCATCAAAATAGTGACTGGTCAAAATAAACTCCAAGTACTGAAATATTACAAGGTATCCTTTTCTGGCAAATTATTTCTGCTTTTCGCATGACTGATGTAGAATTTCAGCCAGTAGGATGACTGCATGTTCCAGGAAAAAATAGCAGATTTAGATCTTTGAGTGGGTCTGAAAAAGATCATCACAGTACCTTTCTAAACAAAAGGCGTACGAAGTATATATGGAAATCACTGGCGTTTTTCTGTTACCCGCTGCATCCGCAGTGATAAAAGCATTCATACCTCACGTACTATACAAGATGTGAAAACAGGTCTTTCAGGAAGAGTCTATCGGGCTTATTTTACTAGGCTGATGCACTGTTCATTTAATCATCATTAATAACCTACCAGAGATAGCACCAAACTAAATGTACCCCAAGAACCTCATCATTGGAAAACCGGAGAGTACCAACCAAGTACTTCATAACCAAATTCATTTTACAACTTGATCTTCACTCGAATGCCTTCTTCATGTTTATCAGTGGGAAAAAAGCTTTTAAATACATCTAACAATGTTAACAGACAGACAGAATTATCTTCAATTCTTAGGATTATTTATCACAACTTACTCCAGGTAAAATGTACTTTTCGACATCGTCAAATATGTTTGACCATGGTTCTGGTTCTTCAGGTGGTTCTTCTGGTAGTAGCTGCCTTAAATAACCCGGTTCCACGTCCGGTATAACAGGATATTTTCGGATATTTTTTAAATAGCATGTTATAAAATCAATCATTTGTCTACCCCAATATGCGAAGTTATGCGGATCCATTTTTATTTGATATATGGTTGGAGCAAAGTTTTTACTGTTAAATAAAACAAGACAGTGATAATATCTGAAAAAGAGAGCAAAAATAATTCTTCTACCTGAAACGTTATTGTCAGTTCGTGCCTTAAGCTGTGATTCAGGCCTTATTCGTCTGCATTAATTACTAAAGTATGAATACTTTTCTCATCACCTCTCCACAATATTGGTCAGCGCTATCCTGAATTAGACAAACGTAAATGTAGAGTTTCGGTACTGTGGTAGAGTGTAATTCCATATTAAATTTGTCTCTGAGACAGAGCATACAATGACATAGTATTACTTATAGGGTGATGTTTTGAGTACAACCAGCTACTCATAATCACATCAAAGTAATCAAAGAAAATTTCTGCCCTAACACGAACATTAATGAGGCAGTGTGGTTGGATGTAATTCCACTTTATCTGTTTATTAAATGTTTCATGCAATGAAAGCGTATTAATTACTGGATTACTTTTCGAACACAAACCATTATCTACATCCATATCAAGATAACTCCACAACTTTGAGACATCCTTTATATTGCTCTATTTTCTACAAATGCTGTCTCAATTAAGTTGTTAAAATTTGACTTAGAAACAATGCTTGTCAAAAGTTCAATAGGTTGAATTCTAAGGTCGTACGTTTCCAGTTTAAAACTCACTAACATGGTCAATGTTACTCACAAACGTTTTTCATTCATTATAAAAGATTAACTAATAGTAATCATTTCAAGAATCCCTACAATGCGGTTTTCAGTCTGATAAGACAAGAGATAAATAATCATGAGGCCCCAGTTTGAAGCTGACAATGAGGGCGAAATTACTATGGACATACTTCAATGTTCATTGAAGAAGACATTTTCTGAAGTCCCACTGAAACGGATTTTAAGCAACAGATGTTTCTTACCCCTACATCTGAAGACGGTATTCGTCACATGTCCATGTCAATAAGTAATGATACATTCAACAGCTCCTTTAAAGTTAGATATCTAGTATACATTATGAGAACCATTTGATTACATGTGAAAAAAAATCTCCTGGTATGTTCAGCAAAAGTATAAGTTAAGGAGATTTGAACTTAAACTCAATCCCATCTAATTGACACTGGATAAAATATATAAACTTAGTGTACTGTTTTAGTGACGATCGAAAAACCAGACAGAATACAACAAGCATTAGCAATTCACCTTCTTTAGATTTCTGAGGCTATTATAATAAAAAAGCTGAATCCAAAGTTTTCTGTACCAAAACATCTCATAAATCTCTGGCTTTTCCGCTCCTATGCTCAAGAGAGAGGTAAACTAAGATGTACAAGGACTCAACTTTCTTATACGTATTCTGTAGTAATGTGATCTGACTTTTGTCATTTTACGATTTCAAGTTTTATTTTCCAAGTTCTTATTTTTTGATTGACCTAATAACACAAACTTAATCACTGCTCTCCATGAATTTAAAATCCTAAGACAATCATACGTGTACATGTTAATCGATTAATCAGCAGTCATTTGCAATTATGAGAAACAAACTATCAAACAATTTTAATCCAACAGTCTGCTAAATCATAAAGCAAAACACGGTTAGCGAAGAGTCACTCTTCACAGCGACATCATTCTCAAGCTGTACAGTCGTATATAAATATTCTATTCAAATGGTAACAGAAAAAGAATATTCCATAAAATATTTTTCAACGAAATTCACTTCTGATCATCAATCAGGAGATTGGAGAACGAATTTCGTAATGTTCGAAATAGTACTGAAAAGAAGACTTATTCTGACCGAAGCAATATTTGGTTGCTGAATTAAATGATATAATATGGTTCAAGGGATTGGTGAATTCAGTGAGAAATCATTGAGCTCCTTGCTTGCAGACTTCTTCATTTCACACCTTCAGTCAGAATGGTCAACCGATTCTATTTTTGTAAACAATACATAGATAACATCGTCATTTTCAGTAGTTGGGATAATATAGATAACCTATTTTATGACTAAGATATTATTCTTAGATGTACAACTAGAAAAAGATGAGATAATGGACCACTCAAAAGGTCGTTCCACAGAAAAACCCATGTGCAAGGGACTACTTACGAGTTTTCACTGTTAGGTGCCTTTGCGCACCAAGCGAAATGTGGTTCACTCTATATGACATTGAATCCATACTATGTGAAATCCTGAGACTTTGAAAGATGAACTTAATTTTCTCAAAAATGTTTTGGTGGAAAACCAGTATCCTGAGTATTTCATTTTCTAAAACCATGAAATTGAAAGCAAATAATCATTCTACTTCTACAGCTCATAAGAAGCCTCCTTTCACTAGCTTACAGTTCAACGAAGATACTTAAGCAGATACAGTGAGAAACCGTCTAGCGTGCTCATTCAGAAATAGTTTCTGCACTGCTAAACTCAGATTAACTTTCTCTACTTACCCAGAGCTTCGATTTTGGTTAAAAGGATAACCTGGCCCTTTGACCAACTTGATGTATGCTTATCAGTTCACCCAACGTATACCAGCTTGCTTCCACAAAAAAGAAAGGAGTGCACCTCATCCTTATTTTAAAATATTTGATAGATTATGATCACCCGCTAAATGCAGAAAACAAACTACAGTGTCATCTATGGAGCTCGGGAAAGCCTGGTGACAGGTGTACATCTGAAACTTGCTCGAAATGCAAAAACCATGGCAACTAATATACTGCAGCTTGAGCTTCATTTTCAAGAGAAATTTGTCCAGTTATGAGTTTCGATAGGCATGACATGTTAGAAAGGTTTACCCACAAAATCTTTTTTTTATCGTCTTCTGACACATTACATCTTCCCACTCCCATGATTTTGTTCTATATTAGATTTGCTTATTTGATTAGTAAAAAACAGCGATACAGTATTTTTTACTTGATGACGCTTTGAGCATAAATTATTGCTCATAATCATAACATAATACACCATAATATAATATATAATATAACGTAATAATAATGTAATAATAATAATATATATATATAATGCCAGTATATATCATAATATATCATAGTTCTGATTTCCCACTGCATTCACCAATCCCTTGAACCATATTATATCATTTAATTCAGCAACCAAATATTGCTTCGGTCAGAATAAGTCTTCTTTCAGTACTATTTCGAACATTACGAAATTCGTTCTCCAATCTCCTGATTGATGATCAGAAGTGAATTTCGTTGAAAAATATTTATGGAATATTCTTTTTCTGTTACCATTTGAATAGAATATTTATATACGACTGTACAGCTTGAGAATGATGTCGCTGTGAAGAGTGACTCTTCGCCAAACGTCTTTTGTATTATGACAATGAGGATTTTTGAACTACTGGTTTTATTTTATAGTCTGGTTATCTGAACAATATCAGTCACCAGAACCTTAAGTCATTTCGTAGGGAAGCTCGATGAAAAGCTAATGTTGTTAGCAAAGTCGTATTTCCCTAGCTCACATTGGAGGTTATTGTTTCAGCATGCTGAAATGATATATATATGACTAATTCACAAAGTCATTTCATTGCGTAAACTGATCAGCTTGGAACTATAACAATAAATACACCCTAATATATCTGAAAGACTTACTATAAAAAACTAAATAAAGATATTTTTAATGATCTTTTGTCTTGGAAACAGGATATAGGGCTTGTGTATCTTACAAGTAAATATCATATGCGTTCATAATTACAGATGATTTAATATCAGTCGAATGCAACTTTTTATTTCAATGAACCTGCAAATTACGTTGAGAAACACTCAGTTTTTTATTGTTAGGGAAATATTGAACCCAGAACTTCCTTAGTTCTAAAGATAACCTGGTTTAAGTCTGCAAATTAAATATTAAAATATGAATGATACTTAACAATAGTACTCAGCACTATATAAGTGCAACCAATCGAAAGTGGATTGTAAGTTGTTATTATTTGTGTCTTGGTAGTACTATTCACTTTATTTTATTGTTACATATTCAGAAGCAGTCAACAAGTTTCTTTGCAGTCACTGACTAAGCAGTGTAGCACTACATAACAATAAGCAACCTATTCATCAAGATATGATTTTCAATGCAGCATCAGACATAACTTTCTAATAAGTATTATGGAACCTGATTTTTAGTTGCACATCTGACACTATCTCCGATTCCGTTATTTGGAAAACATTTTCATTTCACTTCGACATAATATAATCGGAAGATAATGCACAAATTACTTATAATGAACAAAACAAGATGCTAAATAGCCAAAGTTAAAATTCATACTTACAGAATTTGGTGGTCTTTATCTGAAGAATGAATGCAGTTTTCAAGAGCATTGAAAAGGTAATCTCTAATTATTTAACTAAAAATAGATGAAAACCAATCAAATTAATTGCGGATATGCATAACTAAAAGGTGGTCACAATATAAATCATTATCGGGTACTGTATATTTTTAAAATAAAACGACTGCGTGGGTGCAAAACAAAAAGCTGTTTCCCGCCCTTCAAATGAGCAGTTGTTTTAAACAGTCTGTTTTACTTGAGAATAATAGATTAGGCTTTGTATGTCAAATGACATCGATAAACATATTAACACTTCAACACTTTTGAATGTCATAAACAGACAGGCAAGAAAAATCCCTTAAATTCTATTATTAATTTAACTGAACCACATACTGCTGATTGTCCAACCTCTAATCTAGTTCTATCCCTGAATACGAGTGGGATGCGTTCAGTTACAGGATTCTATTTTATTTATCACATTCTCATTGTTTTTTTAAATTTCAATAATACAAATTTAAACTGATATTTATTCTCTACAACAACCTACCGTATGAACCTTTTTTATAAGCTGATTATGAGTAATTGAGACTGGTTACGTGAATAATCACCTTTAGTAGATTTACTTCCATTTGAATAAATCAGCATTAATCCAATTATTGCGACAGACAAAGCATTCTATGTCAGTTTTGATCTTAATAGTAAGAACTTAGAACCTGAGGTGTTTTGAT